ACATTATTAAATTTTTATCATCTTCCAAACTGGTTATATGTTTTCTCTTCTTTTCTTAAAAATAAATTTTATCTAGAGTTTTTCAATTATCTTAAAAAAGTATTTTAATAAAAAATTAATTTTATCTAAATTAATTTTGTTAATAATCATTTAGAATAATGTTGAATTTTTAATGAATAGTTATAACTTATAATACAAAATAATTACAAAAATTTCATATGTGATTGACTTAGCTAATTTCTAATCACTCTTTACCTCATAACAATAAAGCAAGAATTTAAATAGTTTTTCATATTTTTCTTAATAATAATATGTTATAAAATATTGTTAGTAATAACTTCTTTTTTTTTTTTTTGCAACAATAGAAACCCAAACATTATGTTAAATCATATGAAATCTCTGTCCAAAAGCCATCAGAGCTCAAAAGATGAAGCAAAGATCATGTGCATAACAAGACAAGTATTAAGTGCGAAGTATGTCATAATTCATAATATCATTTGCATCCTGCAACATTTATATAACTTTAACATTTTGATTCCTCTAAATCAAGCTTCAAAACTTCATAATAGCTACCCTATTCAAGTAACTTCTTTACATGATGATGAAAAATTAAATTTAAAATATCAAATTTTGAAATATTTTCACTATGATGTATTTTTCCTTCATCCTTTAAATGATTTTAACTTTAGATATTATAATTTATATTTAAGATTTTTTTTAGTTTATGTATTTATATGTAAGTAAGTATTTATATATAACTTAATCTAATTATAATTGAAAGTAATCACCCATCAACATTTTCATTTTATCATAGTAAAATACTAGCTTAATAACATCATTCTTAATAAAGATAAGCTATATATGTATTAAAAAAATATTATGAATAATACAAAATGAAAAAATAGTTTAATAATTAAACTTAATACATCTTCATTATTATTCCTTTTGTTTCTTGATCCCATATATCATTTATTTTTTATTATATATATAAGAAATTTAATTTCCTAAATATCTTTTGAATGATTTTATTCAATTTTGAACTATTAAAAATAATTCATAAGAAAATTTATTCTACTCACTTAAATGATATTCCCTCCGTTCAAAAATATAAAGCATTTTTAACTAAATCTCACCCCCAATAAAGTAGTTACTTACTTTCAAACTAATCCAATCTTTTTATATTTACCCCTATTAAATACCCTATAATAAATATAAAGTCATTAACAATAAGGCTACTTTTGAAAAAAAAAAAAGCAATGATTACATCTCAAAATATTTAAAAATGCCTTGCATTTTTAAACATACAATTTCTCAAAAAATGCCTTATATTTTTTAACGGATAAAGTAATTGTTTAAATAATTTCATATGATTTAAAATTTTATTTAATTTTTTTAAAATACTTTTAATAGAAATAAATGTTGCCACCAAAAATAATTATATAAATTACTTTTAATTTTTAAAATTATTTTTAAAAGATATGTACTTTTGGCCTTCTTTCGGAAACAACTAGTAAAAATTGCCGTCAAAAATTCACTTTTGGTTATCACGGCAAAAAATCACTTAGTAAAATTATATTTAAGAACTCATTGATTATTCTAAATTATTTAATTCTAGTTTACTATATTATTCAGAAAATAAACAAATAAGTGGGAGGAAAAAGTATATAATGTTCTCCTTTGTTTAAAGAACAAAAGCTAGAAAGACGTACTATACATAAACGATTATAACAAATTCAAGCCCAGAAAAAAACGAGTTTAACAAATTAATAACTTGATATCTTTATAATAAATTGCTCAACGCGTTACATGTTATACTATTCAGACTATTACAAAACTCAATTAAATTAAATTGTTTATAAACTAAAGGAAAATTAGGAAAGAATTCAGATTGTTAAGGAGGGCGCAAGAATTTTCGTGGCTTACCCACAAAATAAGATTTTTGGGAAAAGCCCAGAGAAGTTCTCTTTGAAAGTCAGATCGGGGACAGGAAACCTGAATCAGGTTGTGGCTCAACAAAGTAAGAGGAATCAAAGACAAGGAGGTGACACAACCTTTAACATGGTCTGAAGCAAACAAGATCATATATCTGGAAGATTTGAATCCAGTGCTGGGAACTAATGCACCATTCCTAGATGGATCCTCTTGGTCTAGAACTGTTGTAAATGGCTGTCAAGGAAATTCTTTGGGCTCTTCCCAAACAGAAGTGTTGTAATGGTAACCTTCTAGAACTTCTAAGGTCCTCATTCTCACTACTTATAAGTGTCATTAGGGATAATGATATGGTTTTAGGCTCATCTGGGTTACTGTGGGGTGTCATTTGGAAATTGTAGGAATTCAAGAAATAGTTTTATTTTTGACCCAGATTTTCAGAAACCGATTGATCCATTAGTTGTAATTATGAATACTTGGAAAACTTACGTGGACACTCATAGTATGAAGAATTCGTTTCATTCTGAAATTCACCCACAACCCAATAATTGGAGCCCTCCTCCAGATGGTTGGGTCAAGATAAATGCGGGTGGAGCTAGATCCTTCGTAAGTGTAGAGGTGTTCCAAGGGACCATATTGGATGCTAGATTGTGGGATTTTGTCATCATCTGGGCTAATGCAGTGCATATGAAGCCAGAGGGGTGGGCTATACAGAAGAGCCAACACATGGTATGGGATTTTGGCTTCAAAAGGGTCCTTATTGAGTCTGACGGTAAAAGCCTTGTTGATCATATTGATAGACCAAGGTCACATGGCCACACGATCTTAGTTCTAGTTGGGATCATTAATATATTGCATAGGAATTGGGAAGTTAGAATCAAGTTTGTGGAATGAGGGCAGAATCAAGTAGCAGATGGATTAGCAAAGGAAGGGATTTATTACTCCTCTCTTTTTGCGGTTGCTCCTAGCTTTGTAAGGAATCCTGTTTCTACTGATTGTTTGGAATCTTATTTCCCTGATATGTAATTACTTTAAATTCTAGGCTTAGCCTTTCTTTTTATCAAGGGGAAAAAAAGAGAGTCCAGAATCAACTATTACATTCTTAAATAACGTTTTGTATATAAAAACATGTCAGATATCACATAAAATACACAACTTGATACAAAAACAAGTAAACAACTTACTAATGGATAAATCATGAATTTAAGAATTTTTAAGACTAGTATCCTAAAATGACCTCCCACATGCCTTCGCGCACCAGTAGAAGCTTTTGGAAGGAGAAAATTCATGAAAAAATTGAAAATGGGAATGAATCTCATTCTCCACACTGGTGCATGACAGACACAAATGCTCCACCCTGGCAGCCTCAATTCACCACGCACGCTACTCCATTGGATTAGTCTAATCATCATGGGTCTAGTGATGTATTTACGTTGACTAATAGGTGAGCACTTGGCTTACGAACGAGCGCAGTTCAATTTATTATTTTTTTTTTTTTTTACCATTGACCGAATCAGGTTGATCCATGCCCAAGTCAGTCAGCATTTGATCAACTCGAGTTTGACTTAGATTGGACCAAATAAGGTTGACCAAATCCAACCCAACTGATCGCGTCAAAGGATTGGATCGAGTTGGACCTAACCCAGCGCTGCATTTTACTTATTGAAATGCAGCACAATGGCTAAACAACGTGTCGATTTAGTCCACGACCAAAACAACATTGTCGAAGCCGCCTCTGACCTCATGAGTCACTTTGACTCGCTTTGGACTCGACAGCAAACTTCGAAAACATGCGCCTTTTTTCACGATTTCTCCTTTGTCTGGCCTCTGACAAGATACTAGTGCCGTTAGAACCATCTATCTGTCCCCTACAAGATTATGCCCACTTTCAAGCTAAAATCCTCAATTTCCAAGACCCAATTTTTCAAGATCCTCCAGTTAGCCATACATAAGGGTGTTCAAATTACATCTGTCCCGATTAACACGATATTGTCTCAATCATATCAAAACAGGTTTTGTCCCGACACCAAAATAATCAGGACGGACTTTACGAGACGGAACAAGAAAGGGATTCAGGACAGGACGGGACACGGAATTACCATCAGGACGTCCCGCCCCGTCCTATCCCGAATATTATAGATATTATTTTTTATTTTAAATATATTAATTATATTAATATAATTTATACTTATATTAATTATATCAATTATAATTTCAATACTTACAATTCTTATTTAAAACTAAAGTTTTTTATATTAATAATTTTAATGACGTGGAGTAAACACGGTGATATCTTTCTTTATAATATATTAATTATATTAATACAATTTATTGTTATATATAACTATTTAATAACTTATTTATAACGTATTTCTTGCTTTATTTTTAAAAGAATAATTAACTTAATACACCTCTAATAAAATAAAAGAACAATGATTTGATGTTGCGCTTGACTTACATATTATTGCTAATCTTATAACATGAAAATCACTTATATTTGCTATTATAATGTGTAGCTATAATTAATATCATTCAATAATTGACTTTAAATTGTTGTAATTTATATCCTTGTGTTGTTTTCATTTTAAATTTAATAAATTATAAAATTTAAAATTTTAATGAACATTATTACCCAAATTTTTCTTTGATATTATCCTATTTATCAGGATGACGGGACGTCCCGATCCTGCCCTGATCCCGTCTCAACTCCAAACAAGACGGGATGACTTTCACGATGAGACGAGACACGAGATCAAAATTCAGTCCCGCAAACACCCCTAGCCATATCCTGCAGCAATTTCAAGAGGTTTGGGGTTTTGTAGTTTTTTAATATCTCAAGGTCTCAAATAGTTTGGTTATGAATTATAACAACCCAACAACAAGAGAAATCCAAAAACGAAAACGGAGGGAGCATATGAGCAATCGGACATGGCAGCATACATACATTCGTATTGAATGAATCAGCACAACGAAAGTAGAACTCAAACAATATATGTATGCGCACAAAATATAAACACTTACAAGCACAGCCTCAAAACAACACGAATCTTGAGTTAAAAAGATTAGAAAACTTTGAGAAGAGGAAACACCGATTTATCTAAGTTAAAAAGATTAAAATCTAGGATTTTTACAAGAGTGTATATTCAGGCTCAGCCCCAAACAAACCTAAACAAGTTCCACCTACACTAGCATGCTTGCAAACAAGCCTAAGAAAGCTCCGCCCAGTCTACTGTCCAAGTTAAATCAATGCACTCAACCAGCTATATCAGTGCCCGTTCAATATCATCTTGAATCATTTTTATCAAAAAAAGGTGCACAAAGCAGGAAATTAACTATGAATATGGAAACCTACATTTTAATACAAACTTTGGCAATTCAGTTTCTGTTCAGTCGATATGAAGGAAATGACACAAGTGCTTCTTCACATGCGTTTGGGAGGAATATACTGCACACGCTCGTCTTCACAAATTGCCTGCAAAAAGGATATCAAATGATCAAATAGACAAACATCACTATACAGCATTGCTTCAACCAAAGCTTAAGTAAAAGAAAGGATAGGAATGAATTTATGTTTGATATTTTGAAAATGACAACATTATTTTGATCAACTTTACGGGCTTGAGCTCTTTAGAAATGAGTTGAGCAACAGACTAAATTAAGCTAGAAGGAGGGTACAAGCACGTTTCTGAATTCCCAAGTAAAGGCACAAAGAATTCTGTGCTGTATTGCAAAGCACACAATTTGGCCATCGGCAATATGAGCTACAAACCAAATCAAACTAGCCTTTAGTGTGTTCCTTTCTAAATACTCCCAGTGCTGTAGGAGAAGGGGAGGGAAGGAGGAGAGAGAAATAGGAGGAAAATAGCTAATCTCAACTTCAATTCATCAAAGGATCTGACAGATAAAAAAATGCTAGGATTATTTATGGAGCCCTTATTACAATTATTAAAATAATAACATTTTAAGCTAACTTACACCTTAGATATGATATAAGATCAATCCTATTTCAAAATAAGTTTAAAAAAACCCCAACTTCTGAAAATAAAGATAATTATTAAACATAAAATAACTTAATTAAATTCTAGGTTTTCCGACACCAAACTTGGTTTTCCTAACAGGAACCTGTACCTGGGAATGACAGGAGAAGCCTACAAATCTGCAAATTGCCGATGGACATATATACAAGGTTTCTAGACTTCATTGATTCATTCAAAAACACAATAAGAATTATAGAGATGAGTAAACAACTTCAAAAATCAAAAGTAGGATAGAATATCCCACCACCATTATTATGAAAATACAGTTGGAGCACTTCTAAAGCCAATGTGGCGTAAAGGTAACAAATTGGTAATTTTTTTCTTTTTTTTAATGAACGAGACCTAATGCCAACTTTCTTTTTAAACTTAAGTACCGTTTGCCAACCTCTACATATGTTAGATCCCACTTGTGGACAAGTGGAACATTCATTACACTCATTCGCACTACTATCAATGACCTAAAGGGATCCCTTGAATCTAAATTTAGGTTTATTCAAATGTATTTTAAGTTCTGTGAGAGATCATTGAAGATTTTAATATAGAAGAATGTGATTAAGCCATTCCCCCAAAAAGAGAAAGGAGCAAGAAGAGAAGGGTGTTTTCCTAAAACTACTAACCCTACAAAACAAAATTGAGGGTACTCTTACATTGAAAGAACGGCAAGGAGTTGCAGCCAAATCTAAATTGAGTCAGTTATGTTTGTCCATTAGTTAGGTGTCCCAATCTATAAGTACTGGATTGATATTATAAAGAAGTCTGCATTATTCAGTCCAAAAATCATGGGATTCCCCTTTGCCTTTAGGTTATTGTAGAGTTATTAGATTCTGACTATAACATTCTAAAGCATTCCTTGCTTCTCTAGCGATAACTACTCTCTAATTTCCCTTCCCTTTTACTGGTTCTATCAATTGGATAACACCTTTCTAGCAAGAATTTCTAAATCTTTTATACTACATTTGGTATAAAGCGAGAATGAGAATGGGAAAGGAGCTTTCCTGAAAACCAATTCCCCTAATTATGGTTGCACGGTGTATTACTAATTTTCAACATACCAAACACACAAATCTAACTTTCTCTTTACCATTCTCTTTTTAGAAAGGACTTTTCTGCATACCCAATGTAACATAAATACCTTTCAACACTTGTCATCTTTGTGATCTAAGGAAGAAATTAAGAAAGGATCCAAGAAACAAGGACAACAGTATGGACGCAGAATGATATCACAACAAAATTTAAAGCGCTCTGCTGTGTGCGTCATGTCTAATGTGTCAGCGACCAACTAGACTCTTTTTTTCAAGTCCACGCTTCATAGGAGAGGATTGCTTGTCTCTACGTTTCAGGACACTAAAAGGAGCCCCAGAACAGAAGAATTTAGTGATCAATCAAAACATGCCAATGTGATGATTCACCAAAAAAGAAAAAAAATAAATAAATAAATAAGTAAATCTCGTTGAAAGATAATTTGACTCAATGGTGATTTGTCAAAACTTGTACTGACAGGAGATCATTTTATAGTAACCAAACTATATTTACGTGGTATGCCATCATCAAAGTAAATGTTCTTCCATCTTCATTAATGGGAAAATACAAACCTGCATTTCTTCCGGAAGAGCCTCTGAAACAGCAAGAGTGTAAACACCAGGAAGAAATTTTCCTGCAACATATTTTAAAATAACCTTGAGTTCGAAGCCTTTCGTGCAATACAAGATCTCAATCCAGGCAGAGGTTTGTTGGAATTAATATCTGTAGTGTGATAGTAGTGTGCATGCTAACTGCGCAGATTGCATGCATGGTGACTATAATGTCTCAATAACTAATGCAGTTTCACTGTTTTGTCTTGCATGACGTATCTATTAAGACAATCAAATGTCGGTCAAAATTACCAACTAAAATTCCCACAAAATGGGTTTCTCTTTATCTCTCACATTTTATATGATATTAGCCAGCCAAAAATGGGAATGCCCTCAATCTTAAAGAAACAAAAGGTCGAGTAATACATTACATGAAGAAATAAAATTTCAAGGACTCCCATAAGTAGCAATAAGCTCCAAGTAAGCCTACCACCCACAAACCATTCTTACTAGATGTCATAATGAAGGTCTTCTAAAAGGAAGACCATTTATCAACCGAAGTAATTATAAAAAAAAAAAAAAAGGTCTCCGAGACCAAGGGACAGATCTAGAAACTTATTCAAGGGAGGCCAAAATCAAATCCTACATGAAAGTTTGGAGGTCAAAATTGATTTTAACATTTTACAAACAAAAAATAGAACATTTTAAAAGACATTTTGTAACATGGGGGGCAAGTACCACTGCCGAGAACCTTCCACTGTTTGGTCTGGGGGTGCTTCTCCCCCCAGATCCATCCCTGCTGAGACCCTTCTATTTTTTGGTCTAGGGGTGCTTCCCCCCACACACCCCCCCCCCCCCCAAAAAAAAAAAAAAGGATCTGTCCCTGCCAAGACCCTTCCATTTTTTGGTCTGTACCAAATCTTCCCCCACAAGATAATGACAAGCTTTCTCCGGAGGGAAAAAAGTGAACTTAAGAACCAAACCCCAATTTCTTTGCCTTCTCACATTCTTCCCCATGTCATTTGCCAATGAGGATAAATCTAGACCAAGTTGGTAGAAAGCCACTTTGGATCTTCTAAATAATGTCTTTAAGCATTCATTCAGTCTAAGAAGAAGACATTAGTGATGAAAATGAAATTTATATCTATAGAAGTTCTTGTGCTACTTCTTTTACATCTCCTGATGATATTATGCTGTGGCAGTCTAGTTTAGGCCACCCTAGTCTCAATCATATGCAGTTTTTGTTTCCCAATATCAATAATAAATTTGTTTCTGAATTTCATTTTAAAACATATCATATGGCAAAGCAAGTTCACTGATATGCATTCACTCTTCCATTCATTCAATATCAATAATAATGATATTCTTCCATTAAGGGGGAGAGTGAGAGGAGTGAATGGATCATTTGTGATGCCAAGTGTGATAAATCTGGTCAGAAAGTTAATGAGCCTCATAATGGACCTCAAATATCACTAGATGCTCCTATAATGCCCTTTTCCTCTACAAATTCCAGGAAAACAGCCAAGGAACACATGAATCAGAATAAGAAGTTCCGGAAATTCCTCAAACGGATCTGAATTTCATAATGAAAACCCATTTGAACCTCTAAATTTTCTTTCCGACCCTCATTCGGCTGAGACTATGTTGGAGGAGCCTATTAATACTACAGAACAGCAATATGGTGGAGAAAATCCCATTACATGCCAAGGCAAAGTCATGATTCTGTACCCGAGACAAGCTTGGGAGATCAGCATTGGCCAATAGCCCTGAGAAAAGGAAAGAGAAGCAGTACCCAGCATACTATCGGCAGGTATGTCCCATACAAAAAGCTCTCTACTCATTTGAAGACATTTGTTGTGAATGTTGAAAGTGTAAATATACCAAATAATTTCAATGAGGCTATTGTTGACCCAAAATGGAAACAAGCTAGACTCTAATGACAGAAAATCAAACACACACCTAACATAGAGAAACTGGAAAAATGGAATTTCAGGAGATAAAAATCTCTCCCCACTAATTTGCACTCAGATTCTGCCTACCTTCCTATTCTCATCCTCCCTTAACTCCATTGTTCTCTCATATATCCACCAAGTCACAATCCAAGAAAGGCAGCGATGAAAATGAACAAACCCCCTAATAGGTCACTCTTGGGCCCATTACTCTATTTTCCTACATATTTTCCCTTGGCCTACCAGTTCTATCAGAACAGTAGTGATGAAAATAAAATTCATATCTACATAAATTATATCATAATAATGGAACTCATCAAACACTCTTACCAAATCCTCATTAATAATGTCCTAGAAATTATAAAAGAAGCCCAGAGTAAAACCATGAAGACATGATGACTTTATCCACACAAACAAAAATTGTCCTTACTTCCAAGCCAAGCAACACTAGCCAGGAAAATCAACCACCAAACAAGACCTCAAGAGAAGGCCTACAAGGAGAATCCTGTATAGAGGTACCTGAGATAAATTAACATATTTCCTCTGAAAGAAATAAAATTTAAAACTTTAATTATTTATATTTTATCATCATCAGGCTCCAATTCCTTTACCAATTTTCCTTGTGTCAACAGTGACCAGATATTGAACAGTATATTCCGAATACCTAGACCTTTTTTTCGGCTCTCATTTCCATCATAGTCATTACCTTCGACAAATTTCTTAAGCAAGTATTCCTCCCTTCATCTTTGCCAGAAACAACCCACACTGATTTCAATAAACAAGTTGATTTTCTATCTCAAGGCCCAAATCGCCAAATTTTGAGAGTGAGTTAAGAACTTCATTCATTCTGATGAGAAACACAGATATTCCAAAATTGATGGAAAGAAGAATTTAAAAAAAGAAAAAGAAAAAGAAAAGGATTTTGCAAAGGCAGCAAATGCAAGCCCGAAAACCATCAAGAAGTGAGCAACCCTTCTGCCACCTTATTACAGTGCCGTAGCAAATCTTTTTAGCACCTCTAACTTTACTTCCATCTCAAAAGAAAATAAAAATGCCCTTCTTGGGCCGTCAAGTAAACAACCACTGTCCCCTCTCTGATACTAAGAGTGAGCAACGTTAAACAAATCTATTAATAATATCCACCCTCTTATGTGTAAATAATAGTTTCAGATTTTTATTCTATTAATAAAACCAACCTCCTTATATGTAAATAATAGATTATGCTTTGGAAGGAATTCACAAAAATGCTCATTCTGCAGTTACAAAGCCTTGTCAATGAAAGTGACGATGCTTAGGAGCAAAGAAAAATGCCATTACTCCTGAAATCCTAGGATTATCTCCTCATGTGTGAGTAAAGATATTGTTCTATTTGCAGAAAATTGTATAGGACATATTACTGAGCCTAAAAAAAGACAAATTAACATACCAATTCGCAACCAACGGGCAGCCCAGCTTCGAGATGGATCCATGACTGAAATTATCCTGTGAAAGGTATGAAAGAAGATGAAAAGGATATGGACAATTGCAAATGATAAGAGCCTTTGGCTTAATGTACAAATGCAATGCCACAGAAGTTCCAGCCTAACATCCATACCCATTGAAATTAGGAGTTGTACAATCCACAACACGCTCATGGTCGTCTTCCATCTTGAAGAATGGGCAATTCTCGCACCCTGACTCTCTGAACTGTTAAGCAAAGAAGCAGATGCAAAGCCAAGTATAGCTTAAGCCGCACGTTGTTTCAAGCGGGAAAAAAGAAGAGTCCAGCGGTAAATTAACATAAAAACCCTAAAACATTCTGAGAAAAAAAAAATGAAATAAACAAGGAAAAAAAAAAAGAAAAGAACGAATCAAACAACATCAACAGTGACACAGGAGGATGAATTGAGTGTGACCTGGTCGTAGGTTTTGACGAGGCGGCAACGAAGACATGCCCTCAGCTCATGGCCAAAGCTACTGGGAATCTGCGCCGCCGTACTACCCATTTTGATTTATTTTCTAAACTAAAAATGTCAAATTCCAATTGTAAGAGTAGGCGAAGGCTAACCGATGAGACTCTTGGGAATATATATATATATATATATATTCTGCGACTAACAAACCTTCAAATGGCAGCAACTGTGGATCAAAAGTTAAGCTTTTTACGATGCATTGCCACTCAAGCACAAAAGAATGAAAAGTTGATCTTAATAAAACTCCAAAATTCACTAGGAATAAAAAAAAAAAACGATGCATTTTGAGGGCAGCAAGAGAGGAAGCGGAAAGAAAGGATGAAAAGGCTAACCTGATTCGTGGGCGGTTATGCCGTCCCCAGTACCTAGTGGCGGTGAAAATAGAGTGAGAGAATCAGATGGAGTATCTGAGAATAGCCGCCGCGACGGAGTGGAAATATGGGTCCTCTCGAATCTTCGGTTTCCCTTCGACGGGTCACCGTCCCGGGAGGCAAAATTTTATAGCAAGAAAATTAATTTCATTACCTGATAAAAGAAAAAGGTCTGAAAATATGTTTTCTTACTCTAAAACCGGACAAGACATTGAACTAGTCAGTAGATAGGGGTATTCAATCTGGACCCGTTTCGATTGGCCCAATATTATCCCGATCATATCGGAACGGGTCTTGTTCCGACCCGAAAATAATCAGGGCGGGACTTTACGGGACGGGACACGGGATTATCATCAAGACATCCCATCCCGTCCCGAATATTATATATATTATTTTTTATTTTAAATATATTAATTATATTAATATAATTTATACTTATATTAATTATATCAATTATAATTTTAATACTTATAATTCTTATTTAAAACTAAAGTGTTTCTATATTGATAATTTTAATGACATGGAGTAAACATGACGATATCTTTTTTATAATATATTAATTATATTAATATAATTTATTCTTATATCTATCTATTTAATAACTTTTATTTATAACATATTTCTTGCTTATTTTTAGAAGAGTAATTAGTTTAATACATCTTCACTAAAGTAGAAAATTAATTATTTGATGTTGTATTTGACTTGCCTGTTATTACTAATCTTATAGCATAAATATCACTTATATTTTTTATTATAATATGTAGTTGTGATTAATATAATTCAATAATTGATTTTAAATTATTGCTCTTTATGTACTTATGTTTTTTTGATTTTAAACTTAATAAATTATATAATTTAAAATTTTAATAAACGTTATTATCCAGATCTTTTTCCGATATTATTTCATTTATCGGGATGGCGAGACGTCCCAATCTTGTCCCGGTCCCGTCCCGACTCTTAATGGGACGGGACAACTTTCGGGACGTGACGGGACACGAAATCAAAATTCAGTCCCAATCTTTTTTTCGGAATGGGACACGGGACGGGAGTGTCCCGGTCCCATCTCGTGATCACCCCTTACTAGTCAGAGCACTGATTTAAAAATTAGACTGGAGTTGGAGTCGGATCGGGATAGAAAATTAATATATTTTAAATATTATATATTAAAATTCGTAGGAAAAGTGATAAATTAAAGAAAACTTATTACAAATAAAGTAATAATCCCACCATACTTCAACATTCAATTGACATGCAGATCTTTTAAATTAAATTCTCTAAAATCAGGCTGAAGATGATAAAAATCTCCTTCAACTCTTTAAATCTAAAATAGGAGATTGCAAAACATTCACATCAGCGCCTATACACATATTTGGGAAAATATAATTAACATTGATATATAAATAATAAATGAATAAATTATAAATCAAACAAACCAGGATTACTAGCTTGCACATTGGGATCGAAAGCAAGAGCAGGAGGTTCCATATCCATAAAAACTACTAAGCTTAATCAAAATCAGCACCCAAACTCACAAAACCATTAAATAATAGATATTATGTATGAACTATAAAGAATCAAAATCAGCATTTAGTACAAGCTCCGACCTGTTAATGAAGATTGAAGATGGCAGAAGACTGAGACTAGATGCACAGGCTGGAAGTGTAGTCACTTACAGAGGAGTGGATGAAATCACGAGCAGTCGAGCACGATGAGACCAAGAAACTTAAGCAGCAGTCAAACGCGAAGTCAAGAGCTGTCGCGCACGAAGAGGCCGAAGAGATTCACGAGCAGTCGACTGTCGAGCATGAAGAGGCCAAGAGATTTACGAGCAGTCGGAGGTCTTTAGGATCCGTTTTCTTCACTCTGCCGCTTCATCAATCACGGCCGAAGAGATCGAGTGCGAGATTGACGAACAGAGGAGAGGAAGATGCTGACATGCCGCAGGGCTCTGCCGTTCTGGTTCTACCCGAACGCGAGCAAGATTAGAGCTTTAGGTTTAGGCAATTGGGAATTTCCTATTTAGGATCCGTGTGACCGCTTGCGTCTGAGTCTGTCAGCAAAAAAAAAAATAAATAAGTAAAATAATAATAATAATAATAATAATAATAATAAAAGCGATCTGTTCAGCACCCATAATATATTTTGTTACATAATTTATTTACAGTTATTACATCTAACTTCAACACCCATAATTCCATGTATATATACCCCCCCACACACACACAAACAAACAAATATCTGTTTAAATATTCAGAAAAAGTATTATGTGTTTAAAAATTTATTGTTACCTATTTAAAATTTAAATTTGATTATATGTGTATTTAAATTAATATCTACCTATTTAAACACTCTATCTCACCTAAATATATTGCAAAATTAATGGTTCATAATATTTAGGGTATTTGTATGCAGATATATATATATTAAGATTCAAATTTAAATTAATGCATATGAAAATTTGTTTTACTATTTAAATCTATCCTCATGAATCTCAACAATTATAAATATGATTTTTATTAGTATCTGAAATTTGACATTATATATTCCCAATCATCAATGCTAGGCTCAACACTCATAATCCCATGAGTCTCAAAAAATTTTGATTTTTACCTATTTGAAATTTAAAAAATAATATGTCATGAAAGAGTTTTGAAACATGTATATTTCGTTTAATATATATCCAAATATATATATATATACACACACACATATACGATCAGGTTTCCGTGAAGGACTTTGGGATTCAAAATATATTAATTTCATAAATTAAGTTTGGTAAAATTTAAATTTCTTAAATATCTACACTGAATAAAATAATTTTTAATATCTATCATTTTGATTTTTTTTAAATCACCTCTTAATTTTTCCTCCCAAATCATCCTTATTCAATTATAAATTACTAGGTTAGGCTAATAGCACATTTTACAATTTCAGTCTGAGTCACTCCTCTAATTAATTATATTAAGTTCATTCTCCTCTCCACTATTATTCATACTACTCATGGCTTCTACTTCTGAGATCCATGCTATTCGTGCTATCAACACAGCAAAAAAAAATTGGCGCATTATGGTTAAGGTGATTCATATCTAGAGATTGCCAAGTAAAAATACATTCGAAAAATCTAATGGTGTTGAATTGGTCTTTCAAGATGCTGGAGTAAGTGTTTATACATTTTTTTCGGATCCCGTTAATTATGTCTAATATATAATACTTATCCTATCTATAGGACAATGTTGTTGTAGGTTGCATCACCTTAAAATACATTATTTATCAATAATTCATGCTTTTTTTAATAAAAAAGGTGTTGAATATGATTTATGCTTTTTGCCGCAATTATATTGCTATGGTGTTTCCAACAACATGTGCAATTCGTGCAATCACTATTTGTTAGACAACTTTAATAATATCATTTGGTATTATTAAATTAACCTTGCATAAAAAATATTTGTGAAATTCAAACAGTGTGATCGCATATGTCATGTTCACTAATATTATGGCTAAACTCAATGCTCAGAGTTTCGTGTATATATTTATATCCAACCTCATAGTTCATAAAAATATTTCTTGCCAATAATTCACCATTAATTACCTTTTATCCATATAATACAAAATAAAATAGTATGCGTTTATTAAAAATATAAGTGAAGTTTTCATTTAGTAAAGTTTAATTGTCAACAGCATGCACAATTCGTGAACTATAGAACATCAACATTTTAAAGTTTCCATTAATTACCTTTCATTTAGTAAAGTTTCCAACAGCATGCGCAATTCGTGAAATCATTATTTGTTAGAGAACTTTAATGGTATCATTTAGTATTATTAAATTAACAAGCATAAAAAATATTTGTGAAATTCAAACAATGTGATTGCATCTGTCATATTTGTGAATAGTATTATTTGTTCTTATATTTCATATTGATTTATAATTAAGTATTACTCTAATAATCAACCTATCATAGGGTGATCAGATTTCTGCAATTATTTGAAAACCTTTTGTGAGACATTTTGAAGATGGATTGCATCCCTCTAAAATATATGAAATTTCAAAATTTAGAGTCTCTCAGTGCTCCGGATCATATCGAACAATGGATCATCCTTATAAGATTAGCTTCATATTTTCTACTACTATAAAGTTGCGTCCTGAGATAGGTTCAATCCATCGTTTCGGGTTCAATTTTATTAATATTCCAGATATTGTAGATAGGGAGGCAACGAATGATAATTACTTAATTGGTATGTATTTAAATTTTCTAAATTTGTTCTTCAAAAACTCTATTTGCTAATGTCCTATTTTAATCCTTTTTTATCTATTAAAAATCTTATTGCTTTTTGAAAAAAAAAAACTCGCCAATCAAATAAAAATAGGGCAATTACCAAGTTTAAATTATCTATTTTTATCTATCTTAATATTGAATGGTCTATTTTTCTTAATGACATGTGATTAAATAGTATACTTTTTTTTCATGACAGATGTGATTGGAAGATTATCTGGAATTGGAGAGTTGGAGGAGCCGATTAAGGATGGGAAAAAACAAAAATGGATAGAAATAAGCCTAGAAGATGCACAGTAATATGACACAAACTTCATCAATTGATATACTTGAAACCTTATTTAATTTTTAGTGCTTGTGATGAAAATTCATTTGATACTATTCTTATCATTATAGGAAAAACAAGGTGAGTTCTACTTTGTGGGGGGGCCTTTGTAGATGATATACTAAAACTTGATAGAGGAGGCACTAAAAAACCCAGTTATTATCATATTGTAGTGGTTTAAGATTAAGGAGTTCAACAGTACATGTCCTTACATAAATGTTTGAACGATATTGATTCAATTATATATGCATTCTCTCTAAATGTTTTGATTTCTACATAGAAATAAGGAGGCTTACTAGCACAATGTATTGCTCATGATTTTTTGTACATCCTTCAATTCCAGAGGTCTCCAGTTTTATTTCTAAGTGAGTCTGTCATACTATAAAATTTTGATTTGGTATCTTATGTCATGTTTATACTGTTGCTAGTGGGTTATGATTATGGTTTTGATAAGCAAGTTATACAAATATAATCTTATTTTATTTTTAGTCTTGAGGCGTCAAGTAATCACTTGGATGAAGACATAGAGCTATTGACTATTGTAGGAATCTGAAGATGAGGTTGTGCTTCTAGATTGTTTTATGAGTTTATGGAGAAGGAGTTTGTGTTCAAGGTCTCCATTAGAGACCCTGCCAAATAAGGCTTCTCGACTGGCCACATAGTGACCCGTTTTTGTGAAGATTCAAATGTATTAAGAGCATATAAGGAAGGCATAGATGACCTTCTAAATAGTCCACATAATGATAGTCATACTGAAACCACAACTATAAGTATTTTTTAAATTTGTTTTCTAAATATAAATAAAATGCATGAAATATTGATTTTCACAGGATTACAATTAGATGATGTTGATTTACACAACTTTACATTGATTGAGGTTGAGAAAATACTTCAATTTAATGGGAAAAGTCTCATAGATTATGAGCCTATGCCTTTACCTAACATGTCAAGCTTGGATGTAAGTGAGAACAGGCTAATAAGAAATGAACTAAATTATGATAGGGTTACGTTGTCTACTGAATTGGCAAGGTTGCTGCAAACACTAACACTTGAGCAAAAGACAATTTATGATAAAATTATTGTGCTATTGTGTCTAACAAAGGAGGGGTTTTACCTTTACGGATATGGTGGTACTAGGAAAATGTATGTTTGGAAGACACTGTCTGCTTCATTAAGATTTAGAGGTAAAATTGTTCTTAATGTAGTATCAAGCATGATAGCTTCTTTATTGCTTCCAAGAGGACGAACAGCTCACTCACAATTTTATATTCCACTTTCTATGATAGAAGACACTATATGTAGCATAAAACAAGGAAGTAACTTAGCATGGCACACAAGTTTTGTTTTGAAGCTCTTGATAAATGCTTAAAAGATATTTTAAAGTTTAGTAACCCATTGGCTGCCAATCTTCCATTTGGAGGAAAAGTTGTCGTGTTTGGCGGAGACTTTAGGCAAATCCTTCCTATTATTCCAGGTAGATTCAGAGAAGAGATTGTTTTTGCTACTATTAACTCTTCATACATATAGGATGATTGTCAACTTCTTACACTAACATGAAACATGAGACTTATGGCAACAAATAATATACCATCTAATAGTGATATTTAAGATTTTGCTAATTGAATTATCTCAATTGGTGATAGGATTGCTGCTGGAGTTAATGAAGGATCTGTGGATATTAAGATCTCAGCTAATTAGTTATTGGATGGTTTAGAAAATCCAATAAAGTCTATTATTGATTTAACTTTCTAGAATTTCCTTAACAATGTCAATAATTCTTCATATTTTAGAGATAGGGCTATCTTAGCCCTTACATTGGCTGTGGTTGAAGAAGTAAATAAGTACATGTTATCCATGATCCCTAGAGAGGAAGCTGTATACTTGAGTTTTGATAGTGTTGTAAAAGATAATGGGGACATGAATTCACTCAATGACTTACACTCTACATATTTTCTAAATTTAATTACAATGTCAGGACTCTCAAATCATGAAATAAGATTGAAAGTGGGTGGCCTAATTATTTTGATGCGAAACATTGATAAGTCTATGGGGTTCTGTAATGGTACACGTCTCATAGTTACAAGAACTGGAAAACATGTTATTAAAACCTAAGAAATGTCTGAGTCAACTACAGGGATAAAAATAT